AGAACACAACACAAACCACTTAACCATACAAAATCTGACCTAAACACCATTGAAATTTCTGAGGAGGCCTTTTGTCTTTTCATATACAACACAACTTCTGATACATGGTAGAAATTAAATACAGCAATACACATATTGACACTACAACCCATTCAAACAGCTTGGCCCTGAAACACCTGTCAGTCGCACCAAAACCTCCCACTGCCATTACAAATCCACACGTCTGGTGGCTGGAAGGCTCCTCTCCAGAGAAGTTCTCATTTGCTTTGTGTATGAGGTTTCTCAGAGATGTGATTCTAGCGTTACATTTGATTTCTTACTTCAGGTATTTCTGAGGAGGAGATTGGCTCAATAAACCCACAACACGAACTGCAGGGACTGCAGGAACTGTAAAACACAAGCAGGACGCTATAGGTTACAGTCTCCCTCCCAAAGAAACATCTCACTGCTTCTATTTAACAAATGCTATTTAATAAATTGCATTATCCATGTCAGACTGCCTGGATATCCCCTCTACCCTTTTTCTTTTAAAATGTTGCAGGAAAAACTTGACAGGACTGTCACTGCCCAAGGTGGGCCAGCCTTGGGGCTGTTAATAGATTTATTGGGATGAGAGTTCAAGCCCAACACACGGAGATGTTACGTAGCTGGGTCGCAGGGACCGACAGCAAAATAGGTCAATTGCAACAACCCAGTCCTCTTGAATAAAGATATGAGTACCCCCTCTAAAAATATATATATATACACACACACACCCCTCGCTACATACAGATTTAAAATCCACCCCCATGGTTGGTGCCACTGTTAATGGCTCAGGGCAAGAGCTCCATTGCACCACGTGCCACCCATCTGCCTGCCCGCGCCTGCGCTTGTTTTTCGCTCCATCACGAAGGGCTGGAAGCGCCCGTCGCGAGAAACAGAGGCAAAATGGGCAACTTGAAACAGAGGACTCGCCGCCCACAAACAAAGTCGCTGTTTGCACAAAAGACAGCGTTTGCTCTCTCCCATCCGTTAGTCCATCAGGTAAATAATGCACGTGCCAAAACACACACTTAATGAGGTAAATAATATGCCTTGAATAACGGCTAAATCTGTATTTACCTGCGAGACCAGAGAAACTCGGAAGGACCAGATTAGGAGATAATTGCGGCTGAGCAGGTTGTGTGCTTCGAGTAAACATGCATTTGGTAACCTTCCCTTTCCAAGGTTTTGAGTGAAAGGCAAAAATCAAAGTAGCTGAGATGTTTAAGACTGAGCCAGTGCCCACACTGCCAATTCCACGGCACAAATGCATCCCCACCTTGTGGCTTTCAGGTTTTGGGGGGCTGCTTGCTTTATTAAAACAGTGTGCCAAGCAGCAGGTACCCAGAAAACTGGAAACTTGAGTTACAAAACCATAATGAAGAGCTCAACATTGCATTTATCCTAAAGGGGCTCAGTTCTACCTATTGCTTTTCCATCTACAGTTTTTACTGTCATTAATAAATGCATTACAGCCAAGTAGAAGTTAGTTATATTCACTTCTAACCTGCCCCAGATAAAAGATATTTAAGGTACATGTGCTTTAAATCTTCAAGTTACTGGCTATGAATCTAAAGGCCCATCATAGCAAATATAATATCTCAGAATAAAGCAGCTTGTAAGCTAGTTGTGGTAAAACCTGGTCTTTAGCCTACTGCATAAAGTAAAATACACAGTTGGAGTGGGGGAGGCACACAGGCTCCAACCCCTATATCAAACACATGCAATAAAACATACACTATCCACCCACACACAACAAGATCAGTACTTCTCTAATGTATCTTAACCAGCAAGCCTAGGGCATCAGTCATGATCTCCATGAATTTTCAGGCTGGCCTGCACCACGCACAGCAGTGCAGAGGTCCCCCAGTCACCAGGTCCTCACAGCAATGGTAAACCAGCTCTCTCGGCAGGAGTCAGGCACATCACCATGCGGACACGGCAGCACGACTCCAGACCCCAGCAGGTCTGCGTCACACAGGTACTGTGGGACGTCAGCAGAAGGAAATAACAGCCAACATCTACTGCCTGTTTACACTAACAACTTCTGCAGGTGGTCCATGTCTAACGACAGCAGCAGGCTTCCCATCCCAAAAGCAGCCTCCCTGCCCACTCTCCCATGTGGCAGAGGGAGCAACGCTCCGAACAAAGGTGCGTGAGTGAGGTATCACACGCCGATTCACCTATACAGACAGCATACAAATAAGAGCAACCCCACTGTAAACTCTGCACCTTCAGCCAAATGAAGTTTTAACTGCATGTTTACCCAGCCACTGCTCTCAGTGCCCTGGGAAGACCTCACATCATCTTCTTTGGCAAGGTCAGAATGCCTCAGAGCACAAGATAGCTGGTGAGCAAACACACTTTATTAGAAATCATGTAAAGCATTTATAACGGCTATGACAATGCAAAGCACTAGTAATTATCCCATATTTTTTTCCAATGAACAACAATGCAAGCAATGCAGCTTCAAAAATTAGAAATCTGGCTCTATCCATATAAATCCACATGTTCAGTGATTCCATTTCCAAACCTACGTAAAACACCACATATATATTTCTTATGCACACAGGGTCAGATTATAATCTCAGACAGTGCAAGCTGTCACATCTGGTATTCAACCCCACTAGGTTAATATTTCATATCACACAGCTCCAATTCCTTACACAGATACGTATGAAACTTAACGGGACCATGAACTGAAGCTGGACTTCAGGAATTATTTTGACAGATTGTACACAGACCTAGGAAAATGTGACAGCACTTTACATTTGCAACACCCAATAACAAGGGAAGCGGCCACATGTGGTGGGTTTTGGCTAGGAGATAAAGTTTGCATTATGTGCTGTGTAACATGCGACATCACCCACTACAATCAGCAACTGTCTTTTAAAAATAATTAAAAATCAAATAATCTCTGGACATCAGCTGCAGGTAACAGGACAAGCTCAGGCTGACCACAGCGCTCGTTTGTTAGTGGTCCAAGCACATGATACTAAAGCACAACAGTTTCATCACCAGCAAGTAAGGAAAGCCAGGAGAAAGGCAAGTGCCAGCTGTAGCCACCGGCTTGCCAGGGGCCCCACCAACCGCAAAGCAGAGAATCTCAAATAATCTCTGGACATCAGCTGCAGGTAACAGGACAAGCTCAGGCTGACCACAGCGCTCGTTTGTTAGTGGTCCAAGCACATGATACTAAAGCACAACAGTTTCATCACCAGCAAGTAAGGAAAGCCAGGAGAAAGGCAAGTGCCAGCTGTAGCCACCGGCTTGCCAGGGGCCCCACCAACCGCAAAGCAGAGAATCTGCACAGGAGCCTGCCATGCTCCAGGCTTCCCACCCGGGAAGCTGCCAAGGGGCAATGACAAGCGGGAAGGAACAAGATGGAGAACTCCTGCCACGTGAAGAACACTGGTGACAAAAGCCAGCAGGGTATTGCAAGCGCTCTCCCCCACCTGCAGGACAGCCCCAAAGCCACATACAGCGATATGCACCACACAAGTTGCAGAGGATTCAGATTCATCAGTGACAAGACAAATTAGTCTACAAACTTGAGCTTACTGGGCTCTTTGCACATAACATTAATATTTACTTTTTACAACCACATCTAATTAAAAATCACCTGGCAGCGAAAGAAGGCATAACTTTAACTTGCCTTTAACCCAAAAATATTCCCCTTCACTGTCCAGTTGGATAAAATGATGCAGGGAGGGGGAAAGAAGACCAACACCTAAGTTCAGGTTGGAGGGGCAACCCAAGAGAGCCTCCATTTACATGTTAAATTACTTTGTTACAGAAGGATGGCCCTCCACTGTATTAAAAAATAAACAAACAACCCCCCCCACTCTAATCTGAAGGACAAGACAAACTAAAATTAAAAGCAAGCAAGCTTTGGGAGTTGTACACTTCAGTTTATTCCTTGTGCAAAGCCTGGGTAAGCGCAGCTGTGAATCCTGGCCTCCAACAGACAGCTGAACTCAAGGTTAGAGCAACCAAAAATGATCCAAAATGTAAGTCAGGTTTGTCTTGTTTTATTAAATTATAGTCTCTTATTTTATTAAATTATAAAGAGTAAAAAGATAGGGTAATAAAGATGCCTTTTGTAGAACAAAATTGCATACATTTAGCAACACCTGGAAGAGAGTATAACAAAAAATGCAGAACTTCCATTTTGTTGCTGGTCAAATGCATACTCAAATGTGAGCCCGTGTTTCAGTTGTGTGAAGATTTAACTGAAGAACAATAGAGATAACTAAATTTTTTTAAAAAAAAAAAAAACAAAACACCAACCACCTTAACCTAAACCCAACTATTTCATTAGACAAACTACAGTCCAAAAATGACAGCACCTGGCTAGCCTGTGAGGCAATTTTGTTGCTGGTCAAATGCATACTCAAATGTGAGCCCGTGTTTCAGTTGTGTGAAGATTTAACTGAAGAACAATAGAGATAACTAAATTTTTTTAAAAAAAAAAAAAACAAAACACCAACCACCTTAACCTAAACCCAACTATTTCATTAGACAAACTACAGTCCAAAAATGACAGCACCTGGCTAGCCTGTGAGGCAAGGAACGAGAGACTATGAACAAAACCAGCTCATCCACTGTCACCATCCAAACTTGCAAAAAAACCCCAAAATTATAAAGTAAAACAACAAAACACAAAGCTTTT